ATGGGTGGAAATGTGCAGATTAAGGGGCGGTAATATTATAATGAGATCCCTTTGCAACGTCACTAGGGGAGCGAGATCAGATGTTGTTTTCTCAGACGCTTGCAGAAAAAGGTTAACCAAAACAAAGTGACTGGGTTAATCTTTTTCACGTTTCCTTGGTTGGTAGATGCACCGGGGACCTGATTATAGCACTTAAACCCTGGAAAAGTCAGATTTTCATATGTCACCTTTAATAAACATACACTCTAAAAAATGCTGAGTTAATTATAAAAAGGGTCAAACCCAGCTATTGGGTTGTTTTGAGTCAAAACAACCCAGCCGCTGGGTCAAAACAACCCAATAGCTGGGTTTGTCCCTTTTTAACCCAGCATTTTTTAGAGTGTATATAAATAATATTATTAAAAAATCTTTTATTTTAGAATTTTAAATTTCAGCTGAAAATAATTATTGGCTTATCAGTTTTAGCTTGAATTTTTATATCCGTGTCACTGTGTTTTCATTGTATTGAAAGCTTCGTCAGCAGAATTTCTATGTTGGTGTGAACTGAGCACAATCAGCTGACCTCTATCACAGCTGTCTCCTGTCCAGCCCAGTCCACAGGTGCAGTTTCCTGTGACCACGTCACACAGTCCTCTATTACTGCAGTTACAGCGCTGAGCACAGTCCTCCCCAAACCAGCCCTTAGGACAACCTGAGACACAATTACATCAGCTTATTTCATACAAACTCAGCTAAATATTACTCAATCCCTTCACTGTCCCTTTTAACAGGAATACAGTCAGACCTTTGCCACAGTCTTCCCCTTGCTGGCCCGCTTTGCACACGCATCTGCCTGTGACCGGATCGCTCCGGGCCCCTTCACCACACAAAGCCACTCGTGCACAGTCCTGCCCGTAACGCCCTGATGGACAGGCTTTAGAGAGAAACTAGTCTGTTAGTAATTACACTCACCTTTAAAAAAAACAAAAAAAAAACAAGACAATAATTGTACAAGTGTGACTGACTGATATTGCAGTTTGGTCCAATGTATCCCGGTGGGCAGGTGCAGGTGCCAGTGCTGGTCTTGCACACTCCGTTATTCAGACACTGGCACTCCTGCTCGCAGTTGGGACCATAATGGCCTACCGCACACTCTAAAACAACAAGGTTTCATGGGTACGACATCCTTCATGCAGCATACAGAAGTAATGAGGATTTACACCTTTAAAACTTCTCAGAATTTTAATGTGGATTTTTCAACAATGGGCATTTTGACCACTAATACAAATTACTAAATTTTTTGCAATAAAACAACTGTATCCTTCGTCCTGCTAAGGCTAATTTCATATCTTTTTCATGCTTTTATATCCTAAATACATATAATTAAATAACATTTTCACACTTTTTGCATTATTTGACAATTACAGATTGATTGGAAATTACACAAAATAAAAATATCTAGACATGCAAATATCTCAATTTTTTTTTTTTTTATTATTACATCTCTTCACATCTCTTATTTAATCTCAAGCACATTCCAACCATGTTGTCTACTTGGTAAATAGGTTTTGATATAAATCATATATTGATATAATCATATTTATCATATAAACTTATGATAAAAGTTTATAAAGTGTTACTTGTTATGGCAGTAAATGGTGCAAATTATTATTTTTATTTTTATTTTTACAAATATATAAATACAAATATAAAACATTTAATAATAATACTTTTCACATAGTAAATATTGAGCCTTTTTTTAGATTTTCATAATTGTATAAAAATATAATTAATTGATTAATTCTTAATTTTAAGATATGGAACAAAGCTAAAACAAAATCTATATATTTAAGACATCTGAAAGGTAAACTGCGAATAAAAAATAAAAGCATGCATATAAAAAGGTTTTTAATATGACATAAAAGTAAAAGACTAAAGTTTATATCTGTTAGCTTGGTAACACATTACAGTAAGGTACCACTAGTTAACATTGCTTAATTACTAACATTAACAATGAGCAATATATTTTAGTATTTATTTATTTTTGTTTACGTTAGTTAAGAAAAATACAAATGTTCACAGTGTTGGTTTATTAAATAATATTAACAGATACAACTTAGATTTTAATTATGTATTAGTAAATGTTGAGATTAACTAAGATTAATAAATGCTTTAAAATTAATTGAATGTTGTTAACAAATGGAACCTTATTGTAAAGTGTTACCATTAGTTTGAATAAAAATCAACACCTGTTACATAACAGTGCTGGTATACAAATAAATAAGAGCATATTTGACCTGTCTGGTGTGTTTGTCAATTAACTACTATATATTTTTTTCATACAGCCAAAATTGTCAAATCTTTTCTGTTCATCTCGAATGTATGTGACTTTTTAAGACGAAAGAAGGTGAGATCATGAAGGCCACACCTGTATCACACTTGCTGCCTTGATATCCTGGAGCACAGTAGCAGACACCAGTGACGGGGTGACAGAGCTGATTAACCTCGGAGCACTGGCACACCTGATTACAGTTCAGTCCGAACGTACCTGACTGACACACTGCAGAGCAGAGGAACACAACAACCTTTGAGATCCAGGGCTGCAGGATTAGTGTTTAACAACTGATGTGCTGTCAAACACATTTCACCAAGAGTGTAATGAGATCAGGATATAATCACTCACTTCGCTCGCAGCCGTTACCAGTAAATCCAGGTGGGCAGCCACACTCCCCGGTCACATGGTTACAGGAAGTGCCACGAGGACAGTGGCATCGCTGAGCGCATCGCTTCCCATATGAACCAGGTAAACAAACTGAAAGAGCACAAATGAGTTACAGTACTCTGGATCTACCAGCAGGGGGCAAACAAGATAGACATTGGGTAAATTACTTTTCTCACAGTGCGACCCTCTCCAGCCTGCAGGACAGATGCAGGTGCCAGTGATGTGGTGACATGGGGCCTTATGATCGCACCTGCACTGCTGCTTACAGCCTGGACCGTATGAACCTTGAGTACATGCTGATCAAAACACACAGAATGGGAATAAATATATGTTATGTCATGCAAAAATACATATTATGGTCAGTTTTTAAAGCAGACATTATGATGACTTCTGAGGCACTATGGTGTTTTTTACCCATCTCACAGCTTGAGCCCATCCAGCCTGCGGGACAGGAGCACCTGCCATTCTGTCGATCACACACGCCGCCATTCTCACACTCACACTTGTGTTGACAGTCCATGCCAAAGTCTCCCAGAGCACATTCTGAACAAAAAACACACACACAGGATGTTTGACAAACAAAACTGTCAATTTGCCATCTAAAAGTTGCTATATATTTTCACTGTTATATGAATTTTTAGAAATGCTGTTGTGTATCAGAAATGTCTGGTTTATGTCTTGCCCAGTTCACATGCCACTCCAGTCCATCCACTTAGACATGTGCAGTGCCCGCTGATTCGGTCACATGACCCTCCGTTCTGGCACAAGCAGTGCAGGTGGCAGCCCACACCATAGAAACCAGATGGGCACTCTGGGAAAAAAATGCATACATTAAAGACAAAGATCTTCTCTTTCATGTGAACTTTCAGTTGAACATGATTCTTGAGGTGTCAACTGATTAGATTTCATTTAAATAATTTCATAATGGAATGCCTAAAGTAATATTTACGGAAGGAAATTTACAAAATATCTTCATGGAACATGATCTTTACTTAATATCCTAATGATTTTTGAAGAAAAAAAAATCGATAATTTTGACCCATACAATGTATTGTTGGCTATTGCTACAAATATACCTGTGTGACTTACGACTGGTTTTGTGGTCCAGGGTCACATATATTATATATATATATACACATCTCTACTAAAGTAACATGTTAATCAGATATCCCTGGATAAATGTAATAAGAAAAATCTCTGCATGTTTCTGATTAAAAAAAGTACAAACATCTCTGAGGATTGCGTGAGGACAGTTAAAAACACTACCTTGTTCACAGCTGCTCCCTGTCCATCCTGCTCCACACTCACATTTTCCTTCAGCAGGGTCACAGGTGGCATTATTGTGGCAGTTACAGGTTTGACTGCAGCCAGGGCCATAGGTGCCAGCTTCACATGCTACGACAAGACAGATATAGATACAGACAAATATGAAACTCTATACACAAGGAACTACAACACATTCTGAAATACAATGCCACCAGGTTTCCACATCAAAGGCAGAGCTGTAGCCTGCAGACACACATCAGGACGAGGCTGTGCCGGCATTCGTTACTTCACATGCAAAGTGTGCCGATACATGGACACACAAACTCAGAGCATCTGTTTTATTGCTTTACTTTTACCTTACACGAAAGACAGAGGGAATGCTTTGAACATGCTTCTTGTTACTATTTATTGTTATGGGATGTTGACTGCAGTAAAATGACTCACTGGTGTTGCAAAGAGGCCCGACCCAACCAGATGGACACAGGCAGTCTCCAGTCACGGGGTGACAACGACCACCATTCAAGCACTGGCACTTCTGCTGGCATTCGAAACCATGAAAACCCTCAGGACAGGCTGTTGAAGATACATATATACACTTAAATACGTTAACTGGACTAGTTTTAGTGATATTATGCCACACCACCAACTACACCCCTTCTCCTCTCCTACATTTTTCACAGTACGTTCCAGTCCAGCCCGGTAAACAAGTACAGGCACCGCTCACATGCTCGCACGCTGCTTCATTCTCACAGTGGCATCTGTGACGGCAGCACTGGCCGAAGAAACCCTCTGGACACACTAGAAAACGCAATGAAAACATCAGACAATGCTAGATTTGTGTTCCCTGGAAATGCCAATGGTTGCTCATACTTTGATCACAGCGTGGTCCCGTGTAGCCTGCTTCACAGTGGCACTGCCCAGTCACAGGGTCACAGCTGCCCACGCTGCTCCTGCAGTCACACTGGTTGGCGCAGTTCGGCCCCCAGCGTCCCGCCTCACAAGCTGCCACAGAATATACATGCCCATTACATCAAATAATTAATTCCCACTTTACCACTGAGATCACGTTTTGAGTGAAGTAAAAGGACCAGATTTATTAAAGCAGTTAACTGGGTTATTTTCGGTTTTCCTGGCAGATGTTTTTGCAACAAACGGCATGTACGTAGTGGATCCACTGAGGGCAAGGATAATTTATGTGCAGAAACCTGATGCAGGTGATTGCAATGGTTTGGCTGGAGTGTATGGTGAGATAGGCGCTCAAAAATAAATAAGGCAAAGTCATGAGCTGACTTTTCACTTCTTTTTACAAGTCATTAATAACTAGCATTAACAAATATTTAAAATTACAACTTCATTAAATGATTAAGAGTTTTAGATTCAAAAGGTATAAAACATAAAATACATTTTTTTACTAAAAATTCAAAACAAGATAAAAATCAATGTCAGTAGTGTAAGAAATATACTGATATATTTATAATATAAAAAAACATGTCAATGGATATTATATATATGTGTGTGTGTATTATTTGAAATAAATATTTAATTATATTTTGCGATTTTGCTTCTCAAGTGTATTTATTTACAAAAATGACGAAAATGCTTTATGCAATTAGATCTTATTTAAAAGACTTGTTTTAATTACAACCTCATTAAATTATAATGATTTTTAGATAAAAAAATTAATTAAATAAAAATATTTATTACTATTAATTAATTATTATTATTATTATTATTATTATTACTATTATTATTTAAATACAAAACACATGCCAAAAACAATTGAACTGAATTGAACAATTGCCACTGAAATAAGAAATATATTTATATAATAATTATAACAATTTATATATATAGAGAGAGAGAGAGAGCGAGAGAGAGAGAGAGCATTTTTAACTCCCTTTTTGCAATTTTGTTTCTCAAATGTGTATTTATTTACTGGAGACTGATTAACATGAATAAAAAATGAAAATTATTTTTACATCGGTGGGGGCAGTGATTCTACTTGAGCTATTTAACTGTTTGACTGGATGTGATGTAACGCCTATTAAGTTACAGGCTGAATTGTAGGTAATGAGCTCTTAAATAAGTAACCCAATGCAGAGAACAGGGCAAAGGCATTACATGGAGCTTCATTTTGGGTGAACTCAAGGTGCTGCATTATAAATATACATATATATACATAACAGATGCATGCTGACCAGCAACGGGTGAGGTACAAAAGTACAAAAGTGTGTGTAGTGGCAATGCATGAAGGTCTGGATTTTGTTATTTTATGGGGCATGAAGACGTAAGACTGGGTAGTTGCCACAGTATGACCAGCAAAGGTCAGCAGGTCCTGCAGGACAGCTCAGTCTTATGTTGCATGGCTGAGGAGAAACAAATCTTGTAAAAGCTGAGCCTAAAGCAATGTGTAATAGTGATAGATGTCAAAGAGGCTGCCTGACATCCATACAGTCTCAATGATCACTGAATGGCTGCCTCATATCTAGTGCGCTTTCTTTCGCTTCTAGGTAAACTACTAAATCTGAATGAAGTGTGACTTTTAAGTGTGTCCTCCTTACCTTTCGCACAGTTGGGTCCTGTCCAGCCGTCTTTACAAACACAGAAACCTGTCACATGGTGGCAATGCCCGCTGTTTTCACAGGTGCAGCGCAACTGGCAGCTGAGGCCAAAGTGTCCAAATGGGCAGACTGATTGAAATAAAACAAGATTCACCACCATGTCAGAGTAATCAACAGATAAGGTAAAAGCTGAGGAAAGCGGACATTGAAAACCAGAAATATGCAACAGATATTTTCTCTTACAATGTGTGACACAAAACCATGTCAGACGTCTGGTACTGAACAAAGGTCTGATAATGCATTAAGATTATGAAAATTAAATATTAAATCTTACCATTCTGACAGAGATTTCCCATGTATCCCGGTGGACAAATACAGGCGCCGTTTTGCCGATCACACAATCCACCATTATCACAGGAAGGGCATAGCTCTGCACATCCCAGCCCCCAGCGGCCCTCTTCACACTCTGAACATTAAAAAATTTATAGAATAAGGGATAGTCCAAAAATTTTATTGCATAAAAAGTAATAAATATGAGATAAAAAGTCAAAATTATGACATTAAGTCAAAATTCTGAGATAAAAAGTCATTGACATTTTGTGTCATAAATGACTTTTTAGGTAAAAACTCTTTGATTATTTGAACTTTTTATGTCATAATTATACCTTTTTATGTCATAATGTTGACTGTCTCATAATTGTGACTTTTTGTCATAATTTTTACTTTGTCAATTTCGTATTTTTAACTCATAGTTGACGTCATAATTTAGTGTTTTCATCTCATAATTCACATAGCATGTTATAATTTCAACATTTTATCCCATAATTATGAATAAGTATATCATCATTTTGACTTACTAATCTCATAATTATGATTTTTTTCCCCCCCCATACTTTAAAGCGATAGTTCACCCAAAAAATGAAATTCTGTCATTAATTACTCACTCATCTCGTTCCAAACCCATAAGACCTTTGTTCATCTTCAGAACATACAGTAAAATATTTTTGATGAAATCCGAGAGCTTTCTGACCCTCCCATAGACAGCAACACAACTCTTGGATTTCATCAAAATTATCTTAACCCCTTTAATTTGTGTTCCGAAGATGAACGAAGGTTTTACGGGTTTGGAACGACATGAGGGTGAGTAATTAATGACAGAATTTTCATTTTTGGGTGAACTAAAGTAAGTTTTATTCAAAGTGTAAAATAACAGCATGACACTATCTGTGCCAAGGTCATGGCTTCGATTACCAGGGAATACGTGAACTGATATAACCAAATAATCAAGATAAAGGGGTAAACGTTTAAGAAGACTGTAAGTTTAAGACTGTAACTGAAGACTGTATATAACTTTTTTTTTATTCATACTTGTCAACATGGGAGTTCTGACAGCATCACAGCACACTTCACATTTAAACACACACACACACACACTCTCAGCTGGAAGCCGCTGACTGTTCATTAACAGCTAATAGTCGCCACTGGCTCTGTGGCATGGCTTCGCTCCTCTCTTTCTGCAATGCAGCTCATTATGACTTTTTGTATTTGAGAGAGAACTCCTCTAATGGATTGGCCCGTGAGGAGGGATATATTACCACGCTTATGTCTGTGATCTTTGGCTCAGCAAAATGCGGCTAATAATAGACCTCCAAAATCACAGCAATTTCTCCTCTCTAAACTACCCTGTCCACTCCAAAACAGAACAGAATGAAAAGTCATTAATGGCAAAACAATTTTCCTCTCTTTTAAACATGTGCAGAGCAAGAAGAGAAAGCAGAGGTCAGCATGTTTAATTTGGTTCAGATGAAAAACCATGTAACTGCGATTCCAGACCAATTTGGAATAAGTGAATATGATGGTTCACTTGCAAACTTGCTCTTAACTATTTGTGACCCTGGACCACAAAACCAGTCATAAGTAGCACGGGTATATTTGTAGCAATAGCCAACAATACATTGTATGGGTCAGAAAGATAGATTTTTCTTTTATGCCAAAATCATTAGGATATTAAAGGGGTCCTATTATGCTTTTTCACTTTTTGAATTTTACATGGTTTGTCAACTGAGTCAACTGAGCATCCAGAGAAATGAATGGACAGGTCAAGCAACCACAGAGGCTACGAGTGAAATGCCGAGGCAAGCCAAATCGACTCCCTTCTCACAGCCTGTTGTTCCTAATTGATGGCAGACGTAGCACTCTGATCATTTAATGACTTCCAGGTTGTGAAGTCTGACTGCCAGCTCAGTGTTTCTGTGTCGAAATATTCTGGATATTTCCGTACCCCCTTGCCAAGTGGACTGGACTCAGGCATGAAAGCTTCTGGGGCTCTGAACATCATGGCAGCAGGACAGTTTTATTTTATACTTGTAAAAAAGCATATATACATATCAATTCAAGTAACTGACTGTCATCTGGCCCGGATATCATTAATAAATAAAAGTGTGCAGGTTCCAGTATGGCCACATTTGGTTTTGAACTCTTTCTTACCTTGGACGTTCCTTATTCTACACTTTTGCAGCATGTTATTTATTAAACTGTATAAGATTTCTTTCATTTAAAAGAGTCTTAGCTTAGTTTTCCACTGCCATGTTCTGACCTCTCTGACCATTTGTATTAAACAGGCTGATTTTACTACTGTGTATATGTACAGTAAACTGACACATTCTTGTAGTTCAGTTCATGTTCATAGTTTAAGGATGAGGGAGGGTGTGTATGCAACCATATTGGCATCTACCATCAAGTGACAGATGAATTCCCACTAAAATACCAAAATAACACATTTTTTACTGCATGCACAGCCTTTGAAATCAACAACAAATAGGGGGGGAATTATCTCCTCCCTTTTAGAAGTTTATTTTGCTATTGAGCGCTGCAAGGATGATGTATAGTTGTAGGCCTAAATCCAGAAATGAGTTAGCATTTTTAGCACTTCCAGTTCCATTGTCCTGAATTGAATGGATTTTTTTGAAGGTTTTTTTGTTTGAATTCTTGAAATAAGGTCTGTGTTTAACACAAACTCAAGACAATGTCACATTTTATTCTACAACACAAAATACACTAGTAATATCACCTTGTGATTTTTTTAAAAGCTTTTGCTAAAAAGCGGCTTCTAACAAGTGGCTAAATAGGACTACATAGATTGTTGGCAACATTAAACTTTATCAAGCCAAACAGGAAAATTCACCTACTCACTAGTCTGCTTTTACAACCTCATTGTATTTATAATCACACTCTTGCAAACTATTCAAACTCAAACTTTCAGGGAAAATATATTTTAAAGGGGTCATATGATGCGATTTCAATTTTTCCTTTCTCTTCGGAGTGTTACAAGCTCTTGGTGCATAAAGAAGATCTGTAAAGTTGCAAAGACTAAAGTCTCAAATTGTTCTGACTCAAAGACTGTAAGTAAGTTTTTTCTATTTAAAGAGTTTTTATATTTTATATTTTTTATATTTAAAGCGAGTTTTTTGGGCAGTGTAGAGTAGCGCTTGTTGTTTGTCATTTCTCCGATCACAAATGCAGACATGGTTTTATGTTTACACGGCGCGAATCAACGCAACGCGCAAAAAGACAGTATAAGTCATTATAATCCACAATTATGTCCCCACTGGATGCAACGAATGCCTCGTTTATAATGGGTTTTCATGTTTTTGAATCATCGCTCCGGCCGGACAGGGCATCATCACAGTATGGTGAGGGGCGTAACATTTCCGTCACACGCTTGAGGTATTCGGCCAATCACAACGCACTGGATAGCTGGCCAATCACAGCACACCTTGCTTTTCAGACCGATGAGCTTTGTAAAAATCGACGCGTTTCAGAAAGGCGGGGCATAGAGGAGAAACAATAATGTACAGTATGTGGAAAATAATGTTTTTTGAACCTTAAACCGCATAAACACATTTCATTACACCAAATACACAAAATAATGTTCTTTTTAGCAGCATCATATGACCCCTTTAAATAAAGGCTGAAAGAGTTTTCTGAAGCTTAGTGATGGTGACGATAAAGTCATGTGACCATGGTGTAGTTAGTTCATAGCTTTTTACTTCTGAAGATTGCTTCAAAATTCATAAAAGTTGTGTTCGTGAAAATTATGTGAAGATTATCATGAAGAACAAAAGTGTAAGAATCATAAACCTTTGTTGGCCACAGAGCTTATTTTCTGCAATAATCCAAAAGCCAATGGAAAAATCTTGCAGGGTTTCTGTCGAGGGAACTAGGGTGATGGTAATTTCCGTGTTGGCCTACAAAAATATGAAATCAATGTTCTAGCAATACATGTTTAAACTTAGTTTTAGCATTTCATTATGTGGATTAAGCACTGTTTTCCCCTGCTGACCATGTCAGAACTGACCTGCAACCTCCACAAAGTTCATCAAAGACCCAAAAAATTCCTGTTATTCAAGACATTTCCCCTTTAAAATCAGTTTTGTAACATGTTGGGCTGCAATATTTATTCTAGATCTTCAGTTGAGTGAAATACAGGATCATATCTGTGTTAAGGGAGCACACTTTACCAGCAAGCCAGGAGATAAAGGTATTTCCATCATGTATTCCAGTGTTTGGCAGCTGTGTTTGGCTTGGCCCGTTTATGTTATTCATACTGTCAAACGCTAGTCAGCGAAACTTACACAATGACTCTCAGAGATGGCCATAAATTCACTTTTATGGAAGTTCTTCTAGCACCGTGTATTGCAAATGTCACTGCATTTCAGCTAATGCATTACTTTAACTCACTTCGGTCGCAGTGATCCCCGTGCAGACCGGCTGGGCACTGACGCTGACATTGGCCGGTCATGTGATGGCAAGACACTCCCGCTGGACACTGGCATTTTGATTTACATCCTGGACCATAGTATCCACTATCACACTCTAAAAAACAAAGAACAACAGATAAAGCATGCTTGCCACACACAAGCTGTCAATCAAGTGAATGGTAGTCCCTGAACTGACCCAGGTTGCAGGTCTTGCCCTGATAGCCAGGCTTGCACACACACATTCCATGACGTCGATGGCACTCAAGCGTGTTCTGCTGCACACACTGACACTCCAATGAGCAGCCAGATCCATACGACCACTTGGGGCAAGCTGGAAAAGACATTGTGTAGGACATTCTGTTTACAAGCAGGAGAAGCATCAGATGTTAAAAAGATAACATGATTAACCCAAATATGACATGTTCCTGGATCAACATCTTTGTTAGTTAACAACAATCCACTGAATCAATGAATCAGGTATTAAATTTAATTCAATTAAATTTAATTTAAACCCTGAAATTAAGTTTTAGGGGTAAAACTTTACAATAAGGTTCCATCTGTTAACATAAACTAACAATGAAAAATCATTCTAAAACGTTTAATTAATCTGAATTTGTTAACATTATTTAATGGACCCTAAGCTAACAATGAACAGCTGTATGTTTATTAACATCTCTAACAAAAATTTATCAATACTGTAACAAATGTATTGCTCACTGTTACTTAATTTTAGTTTAAAAATTAACTAATGGGACCATATTTTAAAGTGTTTTTAAAAATGTTTTAGGGGTTTTAAATGAAAAAAACATTTGTGCCATATGATAGTAATCAAATAAGAAATTGTGTGACATTGATCATGTGTTGGTCTTTGTACAGCAATCAGATTTTCTTTCTTCCACTGAATCTAAAGATGCTCTTTGGATCTTCTCAAATCATGCTGGAGAACATGACTATCAGGTTTTACACAAAGTGAAAAAATATTAAACGATCTAAAAAAAAAAACTAAAAAAACAGGCAAACCAGAAGCATTTTCGTTAGTGGTCTCATACATCTGGACCTCGCTGTCTCTTTTCCCTTTGATTTTATGGTTATGGTTTGCAATAGGATTAGGGATTTGATTGCTTCATAGGAATGTTGTGAAAGTCCAGAAAAGGATGTTGATCCAGGAACATGTCCTACTTGGGTAAATCACACTGTGCGAGTATCTCCTGGAGTTTTAAGTCACTGTCGGTCTGATATACTGCTGGACTTACGTAGGTGACAAAACCTGCCATAGAGTCCTGGATCACACAGACAGGCTCCATATGTGCGATGGCAGCGGCCGTTATTAGCACAGTTACATTTCTTGTTGCAGTGCTTTCCATATAGTCCCTTCGGACAGCCTGAAGAACATAGAATAAAAATGACATACTCTAGCTTTAAATTAAAGATTAACATGATCTAAAATCGTATGAATGTAATTTGAGACATCAAACACAAGGCATATTTCATCTAAACATGCCAACAGTGATTGGAACTGCAGATTTGGCACAGATACGGTTTAATTTTATGCTGTAATCTCGCAGTCACTCACCGTCCTGGCACAGGTCTCCACTGACTCCAGGTGGGCAGCGGCACTTCCCACTAATCAAGTCACAGGTGCCACCGTTTTTGCACTTACAGGTGAATGAACAGTTTCTGCCAAATGTTCCCTCTGGACAGGCTAAATTGGACAAAAGAAAGTGTTATTTTATACAGAGTAATTATTTGAACAGTAGTAAGTATAGGCCTATACTACTGTTAAAAAATATTAATCCAAGAATCCTGAAAAAAAAGTGTCACAGTTTCCACAAAAGCATTAAAGCTGCACAACTCTTTTCAACATTGATAATAATAATGAATGTTTCATGAGCAGCAGATCAGTATATTAGAATAATATGTGTCTGAAGGATCATGTGACACTGAAGACTGGAGTAATGATGCTGAAAATTCAGGTTTGTCATCATAGAATTAAATTAAATTTACAAATATATTAAAATAGAAAACTGTTATTTTAAATTGTAATACTATTTAATAATATTATAGTTTTTACTGTAATGTTTAATAAATAAATGCAGCCTTTGTGAGCTTAAGAATCTTCTCAAAATATAAAAAATCTCAAACTTAATGGTTATACAAAACATAAAATGCTCACTTTGGTTACAAATGATTGCTGTCCAACCATCTGGGCAGTCACAACCATCTCTGTCAATGTTACACAGTCCTCCGTTAGAGCAGTCTTCACACGTCAGGCTGCAGTCATGGCCAAACGTCCCATTCAAACACACTGTGACAAGACAAAGGTAAGGGTAACAAGAAGCAAGAGCCACCAATAATAAATAAAGACACTTGACGTATAACAACAGACCAAATTTCTCAGAGAGGGTGCTCTCTGCCCGCAGCTCTCCAAAGCCATCGTCGTCCTCATAGTCGTGATAGCGCTCCAGGGGTTGTGGGTAGTCCTGTAGGAGTGTGAGATGAAGGAGAGGTCTCTCAACCACCGCTGGACTGGACAATTCCTCAACCGCTCTCTCCAGGGCTACACAGAACAGGGAGAGAGAAATAGATATATTGACATGATCAATGCTGTCTTGATGTTACACCAACTATGCAAGTAATAATGCTGTTATTATTACAAAATAAGCCTTGACAGGACCATTAGATGTTGCTGGCTGGACAATATCCTGCTTATTGGACAGATATTTATCAAATACTAGATGCACATTCTTTATTCATATGCCCTTTAGCTTTCACAGAGTGGTTGCTAGTCTTCCCAGGGCCCATTCTACAATATTAACTATATACATAGATAATGACAAAAACAAAGATAAAACTACTATAATCAGACCACCAAACAATACTTATTCCACAATCTTACAATAATATGAATAATTAAATACACATTAAAACAAATAACAAAATACATAATTAAATAATTAAAATAAAAAATACTGATTATTTCACTGTGTGGAAAAAAAAGGCTATGTACTGTAGGAAATCAAAGCACAATTATGTAGAAAATGAATTACATAGTTTAGCATTTATTTTACAAAATTATCACTGGTACATAGTTGTCTGGAAGATCTGACTCTGATTGGTCTGTATTCTGAGGTCACCCTCAACTATTTATTTGACTGTTTATAAACGGTTTATATGTTTATACTGTGCTTTAACAGTCTCTTTCTACTCAAATAAAATAAAATAAAATACTTATTTGTTAAGCACCCATGAAACAACAGATAATGTATAGACAGCTGATTGTTATCACAAACATAACGCTTTACAATCTAAGTGATGCAACACATTGTGTTTATTTTGCAATAACGGCCAGATGGCTATACATTAATCATTACAGATCTGACCACAGAATGTTGTGATTGACCAATCAGGATCAAGTATTCTAGAAAGCTGTGTATAAAGCGATCCTAATGCACACCACATACAATAACTGATATCCACTGTGCCCCCCATGGTGTACTTACGAATGCAGGAGTGTCTGTCTTCAGCAAGCCGGTTTCCAAACTCACAGAAGCAGTGATAGGAGCCAGCTGTGTTCTGACACGTGTGCTCACAGCCCCCATTATCAGACAGACACTCATCCACATCTAGACACCAGTGGAAAACACAACACTCTTTATACAACGTGACTGCACTGTGATGTATCAAGTGCTGTTTATTATTACAGCACATTGCCAGTAATTGATATGTCTCCTTGTTCTTCTTTAAGAGTCAATCAGCAGTAAACAAATGAATTACATAGTTTAGCATTTATTTTACAAAATTATCACTGGTACATAGTTGTCTGGAAGATCTGACTCTGATTGGTCTGTATTCTGAGGTCACCCTCAACTATTTATTTGACTGTTTATAAACGGTTTATATGTTTATACTGTGCTTTAACAGTCTCTTTCTACTCAAATAAAATAAAATAAAATACTTATTTGTTAAGCACCCATGAAACAACAGATAATGTATAGACAGCTGATTGTTATCACAAACATAACGCTTTACAATCTAAGTGATGCAACACATTGTGTTTATTTTGCAATAATGGCCAGATGGCTATACATTAATCATTACAGATCTGACCACAGAATGTTGTGATTGACCAATCAGGATCAAGTATTCTAGAAAGCTGTGTATAAAGCGATCCTAATGCACACCACATACAATAACTGATATCCACTGTGCCCCCCATGGTGTACTTACGAATGCAGGAGTGTCTGTCTTCAGCAAGCCGGTTTCCAAACTCACAGAAGCAGTGATAGGAGCCAGCTGTGTTCTGACACGTGTGCTCACAGCCCCCATTATCAGACAGACACTCATCCACATCTAGACACCAGTGGAAAACACAACACTCTTTATACAACGTGACTGCACTGTGATGTATCAAGTGCTGTTTATTATTACAGCACATTGCCAGTAATTGATATGTCTCCTTGTTCTTCTTTAAGAGTCAATCAGCAGTAAACAGGTTGTGAAGTACCGTCACATCCACATCCATCAGCGTTGAGTCTGTATCCTGCCCTGCAGTAGCACTCATAACCTCCGGGGTAGTTTGTGCAGTCCTGCTCACAGCATGAAGTTCCCTCCTCACATTCTTCCAGATCTAAAGCAAAAAAAAGCAGTACAGGAAGCGAGGCCACGAGCCATCGGCGTGTATTAGGACTCTGTAGACCGAGTATTTATATAAGCACATTTCCAGTTATAAAGAGAGGTCAATATTTGGAGAGAACCTTCAGGGCACAGCCAGAAAAACACAAGACCTACAACTGCTGAGATCCAGCTGGCTGACATTTGCTTTTGCAGGAAATAGTCATTAATATTGTTTGAGGAATTATGATTTTAACTGTTTATCAGTGCAGCTGGATGCACACTGAATCAAAGAGATGGATTTCATTGGAGTTATTCTGTAAAACTTATTTATGTATCTGTCTGTACACCTGCGCACTCACCCAAACAGGTTTTGAGGTCCTCCGCGAGCTGATAACCCTGGTTACAGCTGCAGACGGGTCCAAGTGTGCCGTGCTGACAGTGGTGTGAACAGCCACCGTTATGTGAGTCACAACTATTAACGATCTCTATTTCAATACCTACAGACAGTCAATAATAAAAAGGAACAAGTGTTCAAAAATGATTATGAACATACAGTAGCATGAATGTCATTGTATTAGATAATAAAAACGCTAACTATGTGTCATTTACTTCAAAATTGGTTTTGTTGGACACTTTTTGGTTGTCAGATGTTAATGGACCATGTTCATTGTAGTTAATAATCCAATATCAAGTGCAAGGCCAATATCGCTGATACCAATACTAAAAGTACTGTTATAGGTTCAAGGTTTTCTCCTCAACAATAAACTAAACTAAACTAAAATCATGCCCATTTATTTATATATCACGTACCCATAAAATAAGCAGATAATGTACAGTCAGTCATTAGTGCAAAATAAACCTCCTTCTGATATATGCAACACCTGTTCACTCACTCTGGGTTTATTTTATGATAATGGCCAGCTGACTGTTCATTATCCCTTGACCAAGCAATCAGATGTCAGCGGACCATGTTCATAGCTAATTATGGAATATGATTAATTTTAACTTCTAAGCTTAAATTGATCAAAGTGACATTAAAGACATCGATAATGTTACAAGATTCACATTTCAAATGAATGCTGTTCTTTTGAATTCCTCTTAAAGAATTCTTTAAAAAAATCACTGTTTGCACAAAAATACTGATATTTACATTGATGATAATAATGTTTCTGGAACACCATGTCAGCATATTGGAATATTTTCTAAATCATTGTGACACTGAAGGCTGGATTAATGTCTGCTGAAAATTCAGCTTTGCCATCACAGGAATAAATTACATTTTAAAATACACTCAAACAGAAAACAGTAGGTTTGAATTGTAATATTATTTCAAAATATTTTGTTTTTATTGTATTTTGGATCAACTAAATGCAGCCTTGGTAAGCATAAAGAGTTCTTTCAAAAACATTAAACACGATACTTACCAACCCCAAACTTTAATGGTTGTGTAGTTAAATCCCTATTAAAATGATGAATTCTCTTAATACAATATTATGATTGAAAGTATCAATATTTCACACTTGACTCACCAATCCCTACTTTTTGGGACCACTGTGGTATGTTTCTGTGCTTCTCTGAACCGTTTAAGGTTTAAGGTAACTCACGGTAGCATTTCCTGCCATCAGAGCCCAGCTCGTATCCTGGATTGCAGATGCATGAGAAGGAGCCTGGAGTGTTCCGGCAACTGTGAGCACACGCCGCCAATCCTGTTTCACACTCATCGACCTCTGAAACACACCAATTACAAGTTACTGATGACATGTCGCCTTTTTCTATTTATACAGACATCTAATTAGACGAGAATCCCACTCTGGATTTGTTGAGTCACTTTTAGTCAGACAAACAGAAATTTCTGCCTCTTACAATCACTTAAATGAAAATCAATGAGTGCGACCTCTCAAGCGCTAACAGGTTCCATCATGGACTTCAGAGTGGAAATCTCTGCTCACTGTCTCACTGAGAAGATGAACCAAGTTCTACAGCTTTCAGTCGTCTAATCAAACACAGTGCTTCCACTGTTCTCACACCATGGGAAAGAAACTTCTTTAAAAACTTTGAAAAAAGAGGATCCAGCAGATGAGAGACCATTTAATACTTTCCATGACAGTGTAACTGAACCCTAGCGCGGTGGAAAAGCCCTTCACTGCTGCTGTCAGAAGCTTTTACCTTCACAGCTCTTCTGGTCCGGGGCCAGCATGAAGCCTTGGTGACAGCTGCACACAGCATGACCGCCATCACTGCGACATAAGTGCACGCAGCCGCCGTTCCTCTCCGCACATGGGTTCCTCACTGAAACACATGCCGTTAAAGTCAGATCTTGTAAGTAATTTCACTGGCTGTCTCCCTCACGCACACAAACTCTCATTATCTTGTCAACACAATCCATGTAATAGGCTACACATACATAATTTCTGCAGACTTTCTCTATCTGAATTCCCATACTTCCCTGGCCAGATTTTTTGCCTCAGTCACATTACGACATAACACACATCATACATATACAATGCAGTTTTGAGACACTTTGGAGGACAGATTTTAGAAATAAGAAAAGAAAAACGTATGGCGTCATATACTGCATTTGGAGAGCAACAAATAATGTCAGGTTTATACCAGCCATAAACTTACTTTTCAGCACGTTTTTATAGATTTGGGGGAGCAAATCAGGGTCATATGAACTATTTAAAACCAAAGAAAAATACACATTAACTAAGTACTAATAGTACCCTGGTAATTGCATGTCTTTTAGAAGTACTTCCTTGGAGTACCATATAAATACTATGAATATGATATTCATTGATATACTTTTCACTGTTTCACTGTTTTTGTGCATTCCAGTGGTTGGGATTTAACAGTGATTCTTTATGCAATTTACATATTACGCCAGTAGGTGGCAACAAGTGACTGTTTTTATGAGTGAATAACTGATTCATTAGCTCAACCGATTCATTCGACACTGATTTATTAAGGAATGGAACAAATGGCTCCCACTGTCCAAATATGCCTATAGTAGATGAAAAACAGTATGTGAAAAGAGAAGTATGATTCTAAAATGTGCATTTGATTAACACTACTATCTCATGAAGCAACTGATGCTGACGGTCATGTGACAATAACATGATGACTAACGTAGTACATCAGAAATTAATTTTAAACTATATAGTACATACTTTTTTACAGTTTGCAAAGTAAGCTCTTCATCAGATATAGTATACTCAGACTGTATGTGATTTTGGACACAGCTACTGTCTTTAAGAGTCATTGAATAATTAGTTTAAGTGATTTGTTCAAAATCACAAATTCACTTAGCAACGCTATTACTGTATCTTGCTCAGAGATGCGTATAACTCTTAAATTCTGTTTTGGCTCCATGTTGAACTCTTTTTACTGGCGGGTCAAAAAAGGGAACAGGCAAAATGCATCTAAAAATTAACAATTAACAATATTGAATCGAAGTTACTCAATATTAACGTCTTGTTTATTTAACTGTTGTATAAACGCAGTTTCACAATCATGTTTGTCTGAATATCAGTACTCATATACCTTATTTTTTAACACAAATGTGCAAGACATCCGATTCACTACAGGTAAATAACCAGAAAAATAACAATTTGCAGTTAAATTGTACAATTATTTATCATCCCTAACCATGCTACAAATCAATGTACTATGGTATTACCATCGCTGCAGCATTGCACAGCCATAGTAGTGTTTTAAGGACTGTCTAAATATTAAACTAGCACAGAGACTTTTGTCCCAGGACTCATCTGTACTTTGATCACAACAGTATCAAAACAGTTTAATGGCAATGTTATCCATTTGCTGAATTGCACTGCTCTCTCATGAACACACACAGATGCTAGCATGTTTTTGTCAATGTCAAAGAGATACTAGTTACACAATAAGACACACATTCTCTCTGTCCCTTGTTCTTTCCCCTTGTCTTCACCTAACTCTCAGTGGTAACACTTCATAGGGGAACAATTGGCTCTGGTGAGTGTCAGGACATTGGATCTGTGGGGCTGTGTACAGTGAATGTGAATTTTGGCAGACACACTGGAATTGACACAGTGTTCGCCAAGATGATGATGCTGTAGTCTGAATAATATAAGTGTTTCTCTGTGAAAACGGCTATTTAAAATTGGCTATTCAAGCCAAAATGCACAGCGGTTTCAGATATTGCTGTTCAAGTGACTCACACTGCACTAACTGAGGTCTGTTTTCAAGTTCATAGTTACTGGAATCCTTGACCCTGTTATTAAGGTTAGTAACTGATTTTGAGCTGTACTACACCAAATACACAAAATAATGTTCTTTTTAGCAGCATCATATGACCCCTTTAAAAGTATACAAGTTCAGTCTAAAGTTTGTCATTTGTGATTTAAGACACCAAGTCAAAGTATACAAGTCAAGGGTCAAGGGTATCTCTGATAAAACAGCACATCTGGGTTTTAGAAATGTTGATCACTTTCTTTAGCTTCCACCTTTCTGCCAAGAACCCTTCCATCCATACTTCCAAGAGCTACATACTGACTTTATGACATAGCCTTAGACCAAAGCTTTTCCTACTTTCATCCTCTCGTCAGCATGCTCTTTGACTAACAGCATGTGATATGCACTGCCGGGACATTTTATGGACGACATCATGAACATAACAGAACTTTCAGAAGGTAAAGAGTTTAAATAAGCAACAAAAATAACTGCTTCTACACCCTGCTGAAACGACTGGCTTTGACCATCATGAACTTCTACAGTATACTGGTCCAGACTGGTTAGCACTAGGATTCAAAACATACTGAATGATATATGACTTCTGATTACTGTACTGTAAAGTACTGTACTAAACTATTAAGATTACTATACAAAACATGAAGCTAAGTAAAACAACAACATTAACTGTTATGTTAAGTTGAACATGGAGGCTTGCTATTTTGAAACAGCAAACAAAGCATCATTTGATGTTAATTTTGGTAGACTTTCTTACATTTCTTGCAAACTCAACAAAACAGAGCACAATTAAGACAAGCCGCTGTTAGATGTCTAATTTAGATAAATGAAGAGAAAGACTCACGTCTGCAGCGCTTTCTATCAGCTGTGAGCTGGTACCCACGTCTGCAGCGGCACTGGAAGTGAACTGGAGAAAGTTGGACACATTCATGCTCACAGCCTCCATTATTCACTGCACAGGATAGGACAGCTGAACGAGGAATAAGGAATAAAATAAATGACTGTTAAGAGCCATTCACTGTTCAAAAAAAAGTGTGTGTTTATACACAATAAGTCTTTACTATCACTTTTTATCAATTTAGCACATCCTTGCTGAATAAAAGTATTAATTTCTTTCAAAAAGGAAAGAAAAAAAAAAAAACGTACTGACCCCAAACTTTTGAACGGTAGTGTACATTGTTACAAACAATTCTCTCTATTTTGAATAAATGCTGTTGTTTTTGACCTTTTATACAAGAATCCTTAAAAAAAAAAAAAAGTATTACAGGCTCCAAAAAATATTAAGCAGTAAAAACTGCTTCCAACACTGATAATAAATCAGTATATTAGAATGTTTTCTGAAGTATCATGTGCCACTGAAGTCTGGAGTCATGGCTGATGAAAATTCAGCTTTGACATCACAGGAATAAATTAAAGTATATTAAAACAGAAAACCGTTTTTTTTTTTTTTTTTGGCAATAATATTTCACAGTATTATTGGGATTTTTTTCTGTATGCTTGATCAAATGAATGCATCCTTTATGAGCATAAGAGACATCTTTAAAAAAAAACGTACTGTTCTCAAATTTTTGAACGGCAGTGTATGATACATTTACACATGCACAAACACACACACACACACATCACATGTCTGGTTTACTATCCTTGTGAGGACTCTCCATAGGCGTAATGGGTTTTCTGCTGTACAAACTGTATATTCTACCGCCCTACACCTAAACTTACCCCTCACAGGAAACTTTCTGTGATTTTACATTCTCAAAAAAAACTCATTCTGTATGATTTATAAGCTTGTTTACCCATGGGGACCTCAATTTAGGGCCCCACGGTGACACGAGTCTCCAAGAGTTGGTGTGTATTCAGATCTAAGTCCCCACCAGGATAGAAAATCAAGACCCCCCACACACACATTTATATATAGTATATTTACATTTATATGATCACTTATTTGTCTTTTACACACATAATGAATGAAATTCTATGAATTAAAATCCTGTCAGGCTTTTTTTACACTCTAATTAGACCTTGCAGCGTAAGACATTAAACTGAAAAACAATTGTATTATTCTTGGAAGAAAATAATTAAGAACTGTCAGTACTTTGTTTGCATAAGAGTGCACTCACTTTATATAATACTTTGTGGTAGCACCTTTGGCTTTAATTATATCAGTAATTCTGTTTATATTGGACTCTGTCAATGTAGCACATCTGGATTTTCTTTTTCTTGCAGAAAAGTTCAAATTGCAAGAAGACTTCCAGTTCACAGTCCGGTGTGGGTCAGTTCACAGATTTGTTACAGATCTGAAGCCTGTCCACTGACATCAATGCCATTCCTGGACACTGATCTTTCTTTTTTTTTAAACAGTTTCTGTTTCAGCAGGCTGTGGGATTTGGTGTATCATTATTTAACTTTCTGGCAGCTTTCTGGCAGAAGGCAGTAGTTTTGCACAAAAACATGTTTATATATTTTTTTAATTTCCTTATGTCATAACCAAGCGCCTGGCCCTGCTAAAGACAAGCAGCTCATAACATGATGCTGCCGCCACAGCTCAATTTATTCATTTATTATCTACTTCATTTGACTTGACAGTTTATCTTTGAACATAATGTCCAGTTTTGCTTGCTTTTATGCAATGCTGTAACCTGCTGAATATTACATCAAGGTCTGATATGAATCAATTTTAGCTTTTACATGAATAAAAACTGCTATTTCAATGAAAGCGTGTATATTTTATTTTCCACTTTTATTACAATTAGTGCATTTTATTAGTAGATTTCAATATCCACTCTTTAAATAAATATAAATGTGGAACAATCATTGAACAGTCCTGTCGAAAGCATTCTTCACTAATCATCCAAAATAATACCGAGCAATTATTTTCAGAAGCTGAATCATTTAGTGAAAACTGCAAACGGACCTTTTTTTCTCAGATGACTGAAATGAAGCTTTGATGGAAAAACAAACAGTCTCTCATCGTACCCAAGTGTTTGGATTGTGATGCTTGGCGATGTCGCCATTCTTCTGTTTTTCAAAAAGGATAGTCATCTCAGGACGGAAACCAATCATAATATTCAGTAAAATACCACTAAATAGCTTTGTTCTGCGCTATTTAAAAGCCATCTGGTGTGGTGATAAGGGAACGGTCAGCGTGAATGTTTGTGGTTGATAACCGACATTGAATATATTCTGAATGACCAGGAAGCTGTAATGTGTAATCTTAGATCTTGAATGCCTAGCAAAGATGCCTTTGGAGTAAATCCTGAGGTGTGTAAGATTTCAGGTTAAAGACTGGAGCATTCACTCTTTCATTATCTCGTTTCTAATGATGCAGCGGGGGGCGGATGATGTCCTATTGTCAGCGACCTTTCAGTCTGTCTTCTCCACCCTTTTCCTTTGAATGTTCACTCACCTCTTTCATCAAACCGGGTCAGACAAAGGTTACAGCTGAGCTCCAGATAAACACACTGTACAGTTAATGTAGTCTCATTCAGTCAATTTTCTGGCCATCTGCACTCAAAAATGGCAGTCTTCACAGAGGCTTTCTCTGTAAGTATGCTGTTGTGCTGCCGTTAATACAATTGTTAATACAAGTGCTTTTGAGGCTCAAATAATCACTATATTTTGCATCAAATCCTTAAAAAAGTTTTATTTGAGGCACTAAATAAATAGCAAGTAAAACGTATCCAAAGAGAAGAACTGCATGTTTTGCTTTGTTTTCTACATGACTCAGGTTTGTAGGTTAGGCCATTTAGGTCACACAGGTCATTTAGATTTTTTAAGGTTTTTGAAAGTCTCTTATGCTCACCAAGGCTGCAATATTTGTTTGCATTATTATACGGTTTTGTAAAACAGTAAAACAATATAATGAAATAATATTACAATTTAAAAATAACAATTTCCAATTGTATTTAATTTTTTTATTACAAATGTAAAATGTAATTTATTCCTGAGGCGAAGCTGTATTTTTTTTTCAAGTCTTCAGTGTCACATGATCCTTCAGAAATAATTTTTTATGCTTAAGAAACATTTCTCATTACACATTGCTGCTTAATATTTTTGCATGTTTTTTTTTTTTTGTTAACATTTTGCAAGAATATTTATATTTATATGTTTTTGATGAATAAAAAAAGAATTATTTGAAATAGTAAACTTTTGTAAGAACATAAATATCTTTCTGATCAGTTGAATGCATTTTTTTTCATGAAGTAAGCTTTGAAGTGAAAAAAAAAACAATTAATCGTATTGTAGGATAGGAACTATTTCCCATCTGAACGCACACAAAAATTAAAGCTAAAAAGACTTAAAAGTTTATCATGTTCTGTAAATCTTGATCCAAACCTTTGAACAGTACTGTATGTCTATGACATGTTTAAGTACTTATTACTTTTAGATGGAAAGACATTCTGATCACAACGTCTATACATATTTTAACTATTTTTAAGTGTATTCTATATAACCTTCAATAGAGACTGCTGAACATTTATTTGAAAAAAATTAAAATAAAAATTCACACCAGTCGATCGTTTTGGAATAATATATTTCAGATAACGATGCCCCTAATTGACACTGACACACACAAAAAATCTAATGACAGTCACAATCGCACTTACAGTATATATAGGATCACTGTTAAAATGTCTCACCATCACAAGGAGTATAATACTCCAAACCACAAATCTTAAGCCATGAACAGTCTATATTTCAGCATTGAGACTAAATATATACTGTCATAACAGGCATATCAGTCATCGTCATTGTGGAGGAGTGAGCTGTCTGTCCTCAAACATCCTTCCATATAATATTTGCACACTCTCCAAAACATATTTGAAAATGTCATATAAAATCATATAATGAGACAATTGTCTCTCTTTTTAAATAAATTATCAAATAAAAGTGATAATTTCTTGAAACAGGATAAGTTTTTGGAAAAGTGTAGTGGGAAAGCGGTTGAAAAAACTGAAAAATCTTTACATTTATGAGACTGTGTCTAAAGGATAATGATAATATTTCTTTTGGCAGAAAATCCTTGGATGAATTAAAAATAATTAAGGTTTTACCTGTCGGTCATAACTCACAACTTAATAAGCTTCTGGCATGAAGTATCAGCAAGATTACCAACTTCTCAAATTACTGTTAACCAAAACCAAATGATCCTGGATAAAACCCTCACTGATTAATTAGTGGCATCTGTTTCTGGTTTATTCTAGTAGTGTGTTCCATCCCGCTCAGCTTTGGTTCAGATTGTGGTTCTACAGAAGAGTTGGTTTGATAGCGGACAAAAAAAGATAAACGAGCCTGAAGCCTGACTGGAGCTCTCTTTGGAAGGTAAAAATGTAGCTGCTGATTCAGCTAAAACAGAATGAACGGCAACGCTGCTCAGACTCTCAGCAAAGTGAACAGATCCCAGAATGCATCTGGAATATAAATGTCATTTGCTTTTTTTCCATGTCAAACTGGCTTGGAAATTAAAAAGAATGTTCTAGGTTTTGACTTGTTTTTTGTTTGTTTTTTTTAGTAAATACAACAGCATTTCAGTGCTATTATTGTTAAAACTAAACTGAAACTGAACAACGATGAAATAAAATAAAATATCAATATTAGATGATAAACAGATCCCAGAATGCATCTGGAATATAAATGTCATTTGCTTTTTTTCAGGTCAAACTGCCTTTGAAATTGAAAAGAATGTTATAGGTTCAATACAAGTTGAGCTCAATCATTAGAATATGTGACATGCAGTTGATTATGACAGAAAAAAATCTGACTTGTTTTTTAGTAAATACAACAGCAATTCAGTGTTGTTATTGTTCAAACTAAATTGAAATACAGCTGAAATCAAATAAAATATAAATATTAGACGATAAACTGAAACTTGAAAAAACGTAGAAGTATTGCCTGACAACTAACTGAACTAATTTTAAATACTAAGATTACTAAAACTAATATAAAAATAAATTACATCTAAATAGGAATATAAAAAAAAAAAAAATTACTAAATTACTAAAACTTAAACTGAAGCTCAAATGAAAACTCAAAAAATATAAATCAAAAGCTAATTCGAAATATAAATAAATACTATAAGAGTATATATTTTAAAAAAAAACTAAAACAACACTGCAGCAGTTCCATAGACTTCCACTGTCTGTCTTGTTTTTTGCTTGTTGAAAGTATTCTATGGTAATGAACAGCATATCACAGACGCTATTGAATAATCTGATGCCATTTCACATTCCTTTAATGATTTATTCAGTAATCTGATAGAATTTCATGTACTTTACACAAATAAAACTCAGCGTTTGGAAGTAAACTGGCAAATCTCAGAGCCAAGAGTCCCAATGAAACATTTCACCCCATGAGCGCACACAGAAAACCACAAGATTATAACCATATTACAAGGGAAAAAAGCTATAACATTTCCAAGTCATGTCCAAATGAAAGTCTTTTTCAGCTGACATGTGGCTTCCCAGCTGGAAGATGAAGCACAGGGCTCATTGTGTGGCATGGCATTGGCTTTGAAGAAGGTATTTGACTGGAATCCTCATTCGTAATTTGTATTTACTATGTTGATTTAATGTTTTCAAAGTTTCTATAAAGAAATTCCTGAGCTCTGGAATGGTTTTTATTATCGCCACATATTTCAAAAACAAAACCCCTACACAAACACCATTAGCTAAATTGATATGCTTTTTATTTATTTATCCCACAGGGTTTTTTCTTTGAAAACCGAAAACACCTTCTACACCACAGTCACATTTGAATAGATGGATGTGATGGTTTGATAACGGGCCTGGCAAGAGAACAGTTGGGTCCTGGTCTGGTCTATCTCAAAGGTCCATCACAAACTCACCATGACAAGACCCGTAGAGTACAGAACAGTAGCAAACATTCCACTATTAAGAAAACAAGAGGCTCTTTGATTCCCCCTCATACACAGAGCTCAAGGTGGGGACCCCTGCTAGCTTTAAAGAAAAGGCCGTGATGATTACAGTCTCTAAACCTTTGGATGCAGGCCAGTCTGTCAGTGACCTCACTCGATCCCCGAACGACTCACCTATGCAGGTGCGGCCGTCAATGTGCAGACGAAACCCCGGGTTGCACTCGCAGTAGAACGAGCCTCTGGTGTTCACACACCTATGCTGGCAGCCCCCGTTGTGAACCTGGCACTCATCAATATCTGAGGAGCAAAAAGGCCCCAAGTTAGAATGTGGTTTGACTCTTGCACAAGTTTTCAAAGCATTCACCTAAGAAAACAAATCATGTCATTCTAACTTCCTAAATTAATTTATCCACTCCAAGACATATGCAAAAGCATTTATTTTGCGGTGTCAGATGCTTTTTAACTGAAGTCTCTCTAAGCTCCAAAATCAATAGCTGGCAGCCCAGATACCGTTAATACACTGAATCAAAATCAAAAACTTGGTTTTAAGTCATAATTTTTGTCCTTTGATGAAACTGAACCAATATTTTGTAATTTATCATACATTTTATGAAGTTTTAATCCATAAATTTAGGTGGATAATAAAACATAGATCATAAATAATTAATTTTATTCCAATCTTTTTAGATTTTTCTTAAAAAAAACAACAACAAAAACATTAGTGCATGGTTATTATCCTGTTATTTACACACACACACACACACATATTTATTACACTAAAACATTTGTTCATCCTCTTTTGTGTTTCACGGACAAAAGTAATATATGATGACAACTTTTTTGGGTGAACTATCCCTTTAAAACTGCTTGTATGCAATTCAAAAAGTTATTACCTTAAGTGCACTTACGAAACTGTGGAAATATGCAATCTGCACATTATAAAGATCTTCAGGTGAATAAGCTCTTTGTGTCCTGTCTGATTCAGGCCATGTGCCTTACAATCACCCTGACCTTTAAAGTAGTATTGCCAATGCTTAATTTAATTACAGTAACAGAGCTTTTCCCAAAGCAGAACGATCAGGTAAGGATCAATGTTGACAAGCTGAAACACAGGATTCATTTTTGTGAACTATGTATGGTGCATTTAAAAGGTCAAAACACTGCCATAAAATATGGCAGCAGCATAATATTAAAGTGAGATTGAACAGATCTGACACTTTGAAAGGAAAAGCAAGCATGTTTGACTCAATACAGTTAACCTTCATTACTCCCATTTCATACTCATTTTACATTCATGACCCAGTGGAATGCTCTGAGTAGCCTATTTAAGGAAAAGATGCAGAGGGGATATTTTGGATAGGTGTAGTACAGGTGCAGTGATGATCTTGATGAAGAGACATCAGAGATCTGTAGCAGGCCTGTGCAAGCCCTGCTGGTGAGAAACTGTCATGCCAGCAGACTGTGTCAGTGAGTGAGTTATGAGCTCTGTGCTGTGGGCTGCAACTTTATTCATGTCAACTTTAAGTGATATTATATGGATCTGTAATATCAGTATGAACTTACTAACATACACATGGAACTGATTCAGAGAGTAGATGCTAGTTTGCTATTTGTTTCAATATCTATTTCGCTATTAATCTAAATGAAATTATAATTCGATGTTAGTTATAGAATAATAAAAATGAAATTAATTGTTTAAATATATTACACATATGGAGTTACTAAAAAGAAACTTCCAAAAGTCTTTTTTTTATTATTTACACTGAAAAACTAAGAGCATTAGGGGTTTGAGTGTAAATAATGACATTATTTTAATTATTTTAACTACCATTCATATACTCCCTTCACAGTGCTGCTTGTCCTATTGTTTTATATATCTTTCCAAGAGATATAGTGAAAGAGCCTTGAGAAAACTTTCTGTAGTACTTGTTTTAATCCTCTTTATCTAGAAATTAATTGGCTGATTAACTTTTTGGACAAATGAATGGAGGACTAAATAGTATTTTAAAGTAAGCAAACTTTTTCAACCTCCTTAGAGCATAATGGCCAATATTCTGTAAGCAAGAAATATTTCCAGGACAAATGATACCAATACATTAAAATATAGTTACTGTAGAGCCAGAGAGACTTTTAGCTGTTGGATGCATGGCAAAAACAGAAGAATCCAAGGAGAGGATCATTCAAAGTATGAGTTACTGCAAACTATAATGAGGTGTCTCCATAACTGCTTATATTTTTTTGAAAGAAATCAGACTATTTATGCATTAAATATTCCAGTTTGAACTCCACAAGAACTCCTACTATTATAAAATACGTTCCTGTGATGAATTAATGCATGTGAAGGTGGTTTAAGTTAATATAAGCATGTACCGTTCACCTTCAGATCATCATATGTGTATAAAAACTTTTTATTATAGCTTTTATTATTCATGCCTTAAATGATCATCTCAAGCAACCATACCACTAGCCAGGAAGATGGAAGTGATGGTCCACTTGACTGCAGCGGTTTTACTCATTAAGACTGAACCTTAAAACTTTAAATCAGGCATTTAGACAGACCGTCTGACCCTGAGCAGTTCTGTTTAATGAAAGTGCTTTGATTAAGTGCAATAACAGCCTTGGAGCAGAGAAGATTAAAGGTCCACTATGATTAATACGTGAAGAATAATTCAGCTCCATGCACTTAAACTAGAGGAAGGCATATTACATTATAGCTAAATATGCTAGTCCACAGAAAAATTATCTTAGATTGCAGATTTATAGTTGTTATAATAGTAAATCAATATTGTAATGTTGTGTCTTGTTGCTAGGCAGATTATTTTCCTCTTTGTTATGGACTGTTGTTATTAGCAAAAGCTTAAAACTAATCTACTAATTTAAATCTCAAATCAGTATTTTAAATCCACATATTTATTTATTTGGTAAGAACCTTAAAACTTTAAATCAGGCATTTAGACAGACCGTCTGACCCTGAGCAGTTCTGTTTAATGAAAGTGCTTTGATTAAGTGCAATAACAGCCTTGGAGCAGAGAAGATTAAAGGTCCACTATGATTAATACGTGAAGAATAATTCAGCTCCATGCACTTAAACTAGAGGAAGGCATATTACATTATAGCTAAATATGCTAGTCCACAGAAAAATTATCTTAGATTGCAGATTTATAGTTGTTATAATAGTAAATCAATATTGTAATGTTGTGTCTTGTTGCTAGGCAGATTATTTTCTTTATATTATAAGCTTAAAACTAATCTACTAATTTAAATCTCAAATCAGTATTTTAAATCCACATATTTATTTATTTGGTAAGAAGACATGAAATATGTGGGATAACGTCCAGTCAGCTGGTCATTATCCCAAAATAAACTCCTTCAGGCTGAGCAGACCGGCTGGCTGTACATTATCTCTTAGTTATTTAAACCACAATGACATATAACAACAAATCTGGTTTAGATTTGGATGACAGTTAATACAGCTGTTATAGGCTGGTTTTCAATATTTCAATATGTAGTTTAAATAACTGTTACTAATGATGGATAATTTCTGTTTTGTTGCCAGACAAACAACTGCAAATGGAATGTAATAACAGACAGCCAAGAACTAGATGAAATCCATATTTGATTTAGAACAAACAAGTAATTATCGGACACAAGGGACACATGCTTGATGTGACATAAACAGAGGAGAAAATAGCACCATGACTATAAAGACGTGAATAGGCAGACTTTTTACATTAAATATTAAGTGTGTATACACTGAAGAAAAAATTTGCCAGTGAAACAATTTTCACTCAAAAATTACAAGTTAATTTCACCAATAATTACAAAGAAACGGCAAGTAACACAGGTGTGGAAGTCCTTTTTTTTTTACCACAGCCTTTTTTCTCTATTTTCTCTAGTCATACAACACCAAAGTTTAAATGAAAATCTTTTTTTTCTGCATAGATAGACAACTTTTATTGAAACCCCATCTCGCCAGTGATGAAATACCTCTTTAATATGCAGAAACAACTATAAGTAAGACATTTGTTTAATTATTTTGGTGTGAGCATCTCGACCAGCCTGACACAGCAACACTGGCTCAACCAATGGCGTGAGATTGGGGGTGGGACTATCTGCTTGTCCAACCAATGGAAGACAGGAAATGGTGTAAGAAGGAGTTTGATTGTTCAACTCTGTGTTTTCCTTTAAGTTTTATGAATAAAGATAAGATAAGATACTGTGAAGGTAATCAAGACCACCTGTCCAGGAAAGCCTGAAGGAAACTTAATTACAAGAGTGCTGTACACAACTGCAAAACTGAGCTTAGACAGAGGAGGAACTGTGGTCCATTCACAGCAGCAGAGAGTAAATAAACAGAGAGATTTTAAATGAGACTTACAAAATGCAGCAATTCATATAAGAGCACAGATGTGGAGCCAGCAGCAGCCCATGGGCTAGACCCCTGCAATTCATCACAGAATGCAGGAAAACATTGAAATTGAGTTTAATTATGTGCTATTAATTAAATAGTCAGACAAATAAAAATAAAAAAAGTTCTCATTTGCTTTAATGACAGCGGCACTCAAGCTGCATGAACTGAGTCACTGACATGATCAATGCCACACATTTGCTTAGTGACCCAGACAAAGTACAGAACCTGACATTTCTTTTTCAATTTATTTCCAGGCTAAAATCTCAGAACTTCAATGTGGTCTCAGACTTCTGGATCCCACAGAAGACTGTGCACAAGGTAATAGTGAAACCCACATTTCAACCAAAATAACAAATGTTATGTTGTTTGGCCCTCAAAGTCCTGCAGTTATGTCAGGTACAGCTGGGACACTGCAATTGAATCGGAAGGTAAAACCAACGACATATGTGAACTTGAACTCCTCAGGTCTACAGGTTAGAAAAACAACTGCTTCTTATCACAATAACCCTGAGTTGAGATCACAGACCCTTGCTTTGAAGTTTAGCAAAGATCTGGCTTGATATCACAGATGCGAGCCACATTTTAATCTTGCATTACTACCTGTATTACAAACATTACAGGCTTGTGTGAAGACCGTCACATTCGGTTTGCCAGGGAAGTGCAGCTTAAAAATGCATAGTTCTGTGGTGCCAGAATCTAAGTCTGTCTTCCATATTGTTGGAGTAAAGAAGGCACATCAAATAGCAAATCAGGAAGCAAAATGTTAGTCCAATATTCATAAATAAAGAGGATCAGAGGAATTCTTAGAAATGAAAAATAATGGACATCTCTGACTGCAGACTGATTATGCCAAGCAGCCTCCCTCTAATCCAAAACACGTTTCTCCTTAATCTTGCATTCCGTGTAAGAGAGCATTACCCTGGAGCACGTTCATTCAAGTCCAGCTCTCCGTTTAAGGTCATTAAGGAAACCTTGGAACCTCAAACATTAAAAAATACAAGACCCAGATTAAGTCAAAGAGACCACTAATTCTACCTGCAAGAATTTGCAATATACACTACAGTTGGAAAGTTTGGGGTCAATAAGTGTTTTTTTTTTTTTTATAAATTCATTCTTTTATTCAGTAAGGATGCATTGACAGTAAAGACATTCATAATTTAACAAATGATTTCTATTTTAAATAAATGCTGTTCTTTCAAACGTTTTAGAAATTTAAAGATTTAAAGAAATCGTTTAAAAATTCCTGAAAAAAGTATTAGTTTCGACAAAAACATTGTCATATTAGAGTGATTTCTGAAGGATCATATGACACCGAAGACGGGATTAATGACTGCTGAAAACTCAACTTTACCATCACATAAATAAATGACATCTAAAAATATATCAAATTGAAAACAATCATTTAAAATAATATTTCACAATATTACTATTTTTACTATCGTTCTGATCAAATAAACGCAACCTTGGTGATTCTTTCATTTCTTTAATTGTTTTGCCCACAGTTAACAGAAATCAATTTGTCTTTCACATCATTTGGCAGAGAAAGAAAGAATGGAAGTTGAATGAACTATATGCCGGAACATTCTTGTCCTCCTGAAAGCTTTCCATGACCTTAGTGTCATCTTCATAGGTGGTGCAGAAGATGTAACCCTGAGGGTATTTTAAAACTCATTGATCCCAAACACATTAGAAATTATTCTTTATATGCAAAACAGACCCTATTTTCACCAAATGAATAAAAGGCATGGTAGAAAAAGTAATTTTCTTACTTTATCAAGAGTATCACTGTAATGAATTCTAGGATGACAAATGCTGAGCTGAAGTTAGTTTACTCTGGTAAAGCAAACTCAAGATGTTCCAGTGATTGGTTACATTCTGACAGTCTCCCTTGCACTCACAATCCCTCAATTTAAAGCAATAATCCATAAATCAAACTCTAGAAATTACTTTTCAACAGCCTAAACTCTTTGTCACTTAAAAATTGCAAGTGAAATATTACTTGAAAAGACTAAGTAGTCTAAATTACACAGTTTTAATTAGCTGCAGGTTCCTAAAACTGAAAACAAAACATTAGTCGTTCTTATAGTATTTGGCAAACACTAATGTAGCTGCTTATTATTTGTTTTGTTACACATCTGACAACCGTTCACAGCGGAGTGAAGGCATTATCGTCTCCAGTCCTTCACGGTGAATTATGAGTGCTGAAAGAAGCTTCTTTGGTCACAGCCAAGACGGTACCAAATCATACAGCACGACTGAGTTCTGTCTCTGAATTTCTCTGAATTCACACAGTCATTAAACTAATGCGTTCCACCACATTCTGGCTCAGAGTAGTAAAAACAAAATGAAAACTACTAAATAAAATAGAAAAAACCTGAAAATCTAATGCTAAATAACAGTAAAGTTTATTTCCTTAACCAAGGGGAATCAGTTCACTGATTCACAGTGAATTCAGTAACACTCACCTGCCCCCAGGTGTCCTGTGTTGTATCCCTGATATCCATTGAAGCAGGTGTAGCAGTTCCTGTGATAGTAGCGGTAACGTGTATTTCCAGCACCCAAACATGGGACCAGCTGAGTCCAGGAGGTAAATATGAGCACTAACCTCAGCCAACCGAACAGCATTGTCCAAGCGCAATGTGTTACAGACCTCGCTCAAACAGAAAGAAATAAGATCATGCAAACAAAACAGGATAAACAGACTCTCAGCATGTCCATTATGCAATAGGAGAGAACAACTGCTGCTGTGGGCTTGAGAAGCTATTTAAATAAACTGTGTGTCCTGGCAAGTAATTTCACTCTCTCTCTCTCTCGGCATAGACAGACATGTAGTTTCTCGTGGCTCTGTCTCTCCTATTATGTCTCCATCGCCTGTGTCCAGGGCAGGCCTCCGCAGTCCCACCCTCCTGTCTGTCTCTGCTCCTCCCTCCTCTCTTAGGTATTGATGCTGAGAAGTTTACCAAATGTTGTATGAAATATTCCCTCAAAACAAAACAGTGAAGATTTTCAAAATTGGGCTGACATTCTGGTCACTTTTGCTTTTACTATATTGAGTATTTCTTTTCATCTTAGCTGTAATAAAATTCATTATGGCCATTGGGAACAGTGTTGGGTGTATTGCATTACTACATTTTTACTGTACTTTAATTACTTTTGCCTTGAAAAGTTAAATACGGGATACTCTTACTCTGTAATTTGACTACACAGTTACTTTTGATGTAATAGCTTTAAACACTGTATAGACTATAGAACAATTCTATATAAAACAAGAGTGGATTGGTCACACTTTATTTTAAGGTCCAGTTCTCGCTATTAACAGACCATTAACTACGACTTTTGCCTCAATAAACTCCTAATTTGCTGCTTATTAATAGTTATTAAGGTAGTTGTAAAGTTGAGGTATTGGTTAGGATTAGGGATGTAGAATATGGTCATGCAGAATATGTGCTTTAGAAGCACTAATAAACAGCCAATATGTTAATAATAGGCATGCTAATAATTGGTCGCTATAGTAAAGTGTTACCAGTGGCTTTAACATCAAAATTTAACATCTAATGTTAAAATGTATGTTTTTAATGTAACCTTCACCCTTTAAATACTTTGGTCAGTTCAAGAATAATTTATGCAATTTTATATTATTTATTTGAAATTAAAAGAATAGTTTTCTGTCTCTCCTTATATTGTTCAACTGGTTGAGGTTGATATGGGATTTAAAAAGTAATAAGTAATGCAATATTTCTTGGTAATTAGTACAGTAATCTAATTACTCTGTTGAAGATGTAATTAATATCTTGTAATTAATTCCTTTTTTTTTTTTAGAGCATCTTACCCAACATTGATTGGGAATAGTATAAAAGTTGAGCGCCATTCAGAATTTAACTGAGAATGCCTTTTAAATTCAATTCCTGATTTTTTTAGTGAGGAAATAAGAACAGGAAGCTGAACTTTTTAATAACCTGTCAAATACGGGCTTTCACGATTATAAAACCGCCTTAACAGCTGTCATGAGATCATTTTATTAAAAAGATGAAAGAGCCCCGGTCTTGAATTCTCATATAGCCATTCCTGTCATAAGCTCAGTGATTTATAGAGCCTTGGTTATTAATAATCTTTACATCAATACAACTATTTTTCTACAGCTCAGAAGTTGAACAGCAATACAAATGAGTCACAAATAACCCTAGTTTTGACAAGTTGTTGGTCCATTGCAGTGGACCTTGAGAGAAAACATGGAAAACTATTTTATAGGAGGGTAAAGGGAACCAAAGAAAAGCTAAAATGCTGCACTTAAACAAAAAATGGTATAGACTTACAAAACCAAAATAAGTCATGGAATAAGAGCCTGACCAGTCCAAACATGGCATATGTGCTTGCAGTATCAGATATCTTGCATCTTGAACAAGACAGGAATCTATCCAAAGTGACAAGGACAAGGAAATACATAATGAAAAATAAGAAGGAAAGCATGCAACCAACATAGTATCAGTTTTTCCAGAGGATATGAAGGTTGAGGGGAGTTTAAAAGGTGCAGCTGGACATGATTCAAGCGTCTCTTTTCATGTGAGTTTTGTGAGTCAGATGAAAGGAAGGTCACTGCACGTCGTACTCTCTGTGCGAATGTCTTTGTGTCAGTGAGGCAGTCTAAACTGCTGCTAGGTGTGGGTTAAGGCTCATCTTAAACCATTTGATTAAATTACATTAATAAGGACACACTGAGGCTTCCCTAAATTACAGAAGAAAATTCACAGATGCACACAATACAATGGTAAAACACACCATTACACATTCTGCAGCTATTTATTCAGAGAAAAACCTTCATGTATGTCATACAAACAGTAATTTCCAACTAATGATATGCATTAAACCTACTTAAGCGGGGCCCAGTGTGTTACGACTTAAAGTCGTAAAAATATAAAACTAGAGCTGCTATTTAGAAGAAAAAACATGGAATTAATTACATCATTACTTTTTTTTTTAAATAATTGATTTTATTTTTTCATTTGTTTTCTTTTTAAACTGTATTTATTATTTATGATGTAAATAATTGTATTATTTTTTTATTATGCAAATAAAAAATAAAAATGTAATAAAACTATTTACATCATAAATGACAAATTTATCAAATGACAACATATGCAGCTTAAGTAATCAAATTAAAGTGCATATATAAATATTTACTAAGAAAAGACATCAAATGAATCATTTGTGCTACTACTTTAAACTACTAATATTAACAAAAGCTAATTGTGATTCTTCTAATTTTTCAGTCCTGTTTCAGAATTTAAATAATGTGTGAAAATCCACTTTCACAGCAGAATGTTCTGCTTTATGACTCTATTTTATCCAGACTGACACATTTCTGATTTGGTGTCACTGAAGAGTAGAAGAGCCTTATTGTTGAGGCTGTGGAAGTAAGTAAGAAAGATAAAAATTGTTGGGAAACACTGACAAAGAAAACAAATAGAAAACATAGGCCATTGCCATTGAACTTGCTTATATTTCCAGCAAGAACAGGAAAACATTTGAAAAATCCATTATTCACATGATTTTATGCTGATTGTAAAAGATATGCTTGCTTCAGTCTTGCATATGAATGACAAATGAAAAGCACCTGCTCATTTTTTATTTGGTTTGCTGGAACCAACATCATTGATCCTAAAAAAATACATCAAACTAAACTGAGCATAAAATCAGTCCCATTAAATTAAAGTCAGCTTCACAAGGATAGAGGCTCTGTTGGGGAGACTGAGAGTACAAAAACAATCAGTTCTCCTACATAGATCTGATCTCAAGAGTGTCCACATGTGTCTTGAGACACACAGGATCACGGTCCAGTATAAACTCACAGAGCAGATACAGCGCACTGCCTCAAATCTGCAGTTAGTTGAACGGTCACAGCAGTTGTGATTGATTCTGGTTAAATATCCACATGAAGAACAGGACTTTTCTTTATCGGTTTTATAGGAGTGCAGCGTAACTCTAAAATGTCATCAGAAATCCATTCTGCCACAATAAACTACAGTATGAGATATCAATCTTCTTGAACTGAATCTTCTTGCCATCCGCCTGGCACAGGTCTTCGGGACTTGGAAGAATTAAACATACACTTGGTGATTTTCAACTTGAATTTCAAGAAAAAAGCTTTCCATTTTACAGGACATTGAATTTTTAATTATCTTCATTAAGTCATGAATTAAGTTAAATAGACCATATATCTTGCAGCCCTGAAGCTGTTCCAATTATCCCTCCTGTGATTGACCATAAATCTTATAGTGTCTCAGATGTTAAAGGTAAGCAGTTAAGGGAGTTAAGAGAGAGCTGTTTTTACATAATCCATCAAAGCTGCTGTATTTGGATTGAATGTCAAGCAGACTGCCAGTTTCAGCTCAGCTAAATATTTAGACCGTTGCCATTTGGCTTTAGTGATGTGCCAGGTAACTTGTCGGGGATCCACAAAAAATACACAGTTATAGTTCATATAGATACTGAAAGTCCTGCCCTATAGTTTAAAGTCAAAGTCTCTTGCAAAATGGAGACTTCAACAAGGAGGGTCTGTTAATTATTGTTTGATTTCAAACTAATTTTCATGAGTAGCGAAACAAAGCAAAACAAAGCAAAACAAAACAAAAGCAAAGCAAAACAAAGAAAAAAAACAATACAAAAAACAAAAACAAACAAACAAATAAATGAATTCACTCACACACACACACATTACAATGATTACTAATAAATATTATGAAAAAGTCTTTGCTAAGTCCTTCTATCCGCTATGGGATATTTAGACTGAAACAGGTGGATACCAAAGGAAAAGTTCATGCCATTGGCTTTCACAGTGCCATCACTTTAGTCAGTAATTTGGTTAAATCCAGTGCTCACAATGCAAGCCTTAGTGTTGGAAGTATCCCAGAAGCTCTTCCATCTTTTCCATGGATCTGTGACCTCTGGGGAGATTACGGATGAAGAAATGTTCCTTACATTTATGACGCCGTCCTCTCGCCAGCAGAACTGATCTCACAGCAAACCTCACATATGCAATAAAACCCATCTCAGGTTGCAGGATTTTCAGCTCATCTTTATAAGCTGCAGTTCTTTGAGAGGAACTTCTTAGGAGATATTATGCCCTGCAACCATTAGCGTGAGATGGAAAAATGTGGTTTGCTAAGTATGTTGGTTGCTGAGTGGTAAAGTGGCTTCTTGAAATGGACTAAAGCAGATAAACAGAGTCATGCTTCTCCATGTATCTAATATAGTTGTCTGTATAGTCTAATGCACTGCCAGTTGAGCTCACTAATATTTCCTTTGATTAATGAGGAGAAGGAAAGACCTAAATTTTTAGCCATAACCTAATGCAAACCATGCATTCTATCTTGATTGATAATATAGTCCAAACCTCCCTCTTTATCTCAAAAGCAAGTCTTATTGATGGACATATAGATGGCTCAAAGTTTATATTATTGGCCGATAATAGCTTTGGACTGATCCATCACCCATGCAAACGTGAATGAACATGTGCAGTACTGTATACATACAATAAACCATTTAGACAAATGAACTGTAGCCTCGAAAGAATGCATTTACTGTGGAATGTCTTTATGAAAACAGTTTTGATAACCTTTCTTTATCCAGCACACTTTGTGGGAAGAAAATTCTCCTACTGTGGAGAAAAATGTGATCCAAAATTTAAGATAATTTGACTATGTAGTCTCATTCATTT